GGAGGGACTGAATGGCATGTAGCCCAGTGCCTAGCAGAGGACTTGGCCCCCGGAAAGGGGGCTTAGAGGTCTGCTGAATGTATATGGGTGGATGGATGAATACAGTGAGCTGAGTTTGGATTGCCAGCCATTAGCTGAGTGGGGCTGGCATTTGCATTTCCTCAAGGAAGTGGTGGTGGAAAAGTCTATGGCTGTCAGGGACTTCCCCCTTTTTCCAGGTAGAAAGCTGAGGCTGTCCAGCACATGGTGTCCACAGTGCTGGTGCAGCAGGTAGCTCTCTTTAGGGCAGAATTTAATCAAGTGCCACTCTCTTTTAGGAGAGGGCAGACACTGCTCACCTCCAGGCAGTTGGGGGTAGGGCGGGGAGGTGTTAAAAGGGTTGATCTTTCCAAAGTCTAGGGAGTCCTAGGGACATTTTCCTAGGAGGATCTTAAGGGGAAGAAGGCATTTTGTTGGAAGGAAGTGAGGAGTCCAGAACCTCTGATGATTTTAACCTTCCAGCATGGCCCCAGCCCTGAGCCCCCGGTAGTAAATGCCTCTTTCTGAGACCTGAGGCAGCTCAGGGTCAGTGTCTATGAGGTCACCAGTCATATAACCATCTCTCCCTCAAAGGACCCAGCTGCCCCCAGGGTGTTTGGAAACTCTCTGCCCTCATCCCCATGCCTGCTCAAAAGTTAGAGAGGCAACCTGATCCAGTGGGAAGACTTCAGTGCCTGGAGTTACAATCCAGTCTCTGCATCTTAGTACCTGAGAGATCATGGGCAAGTTCCTTACGCCACTCTGGGGATTAGTTTCCCCTTCTGTGAAATGGAGTTTGATTGGACTCCCTGGTCTCTAAAGTGCCTTCTAGTGGTGACCTTTACGACAGCTAAGAATTGGGCAGTGATTACGCTGAGATTTCTCTCTTGGAACAATGGTAGCTGTTTCATCTTCCATTTTGTTGTAATCCCCTCTCCTTCTTTGTATGTGTTGGGGGGGCGGCACCTGAGCACTTCCCCTTCCTCCCTTCTCTACCCTCTGAGCTCAGCAAGTTTCATTTCTCTGGCCTTTTTCCTTCCAATCTAGCTAGCCCCTAAAATGAGTAGAATTTCATGAATGAAATGGCCCCAACACTACCCAGCATTCCCATTTTACGGATGAAGAAACTGCAGCTCAGAGAAGGGGGTAATCTGCCCGTGGTCACACAACTAATATGTGCCAGGAAGGAAAATAGATCCTCTCTGACTTTAAGGAAGCCCCTGCCCCTCACTGGGCCCTAGATTTTCCCTTCGTAAAAGGAGAGGATTGGTCTCTGACTCTGGTATATGCAGAATGTTTTTCAAACTGTAAACCCCAATAGAAAAATCCATTTACATCAGTATCCCTCTGACCACTCTTCTCCTCCACAATTCCCAAAAGAGAATTGGCTCAGTCAGGCCAAAAAGGAAGCCTATGGAGGCTCAGACTGAGGTGGGGAGGGTGTCTCAGGAACTCTTTCCAGCCTCTTTTGCATTGGAAATTCCTGGCCAGGCCCAAAGTGGTAGGTGGGGGTGCCATCGAGGAGTGAGGGACTTGCCCATGCCTCTTTCTTTAAGCCTTAGTCTAGATTCCGGAGAAACGACTGATCATAGCCTCCTACATGGAGGCAGAGATTTATCTTGGGCCCCAAACTGGGCAGCTGGAGTCCCCCTATGTGGTCAGGATTCCAGAGGAGCATAACATGCCTTCAACTTCTTTCAAAAGTGAGGATCTACTTCTAGCGGTCAAGAGAGGAGACCAAGAGAGGAGATGTCATGTCATGGGGTGGGTGGGGGTGGCCAGGGAAAGACTAGGCACCTCAGCACTCAAATCCCTTCCAGGCCTTCCTCCCAAACCATCTTTCCCCCAAAGGATCATATGTGAAGTACTTTGTAACCCTTAGAGCATCCTATGAGTGCTAGCAGGCAGTCATTGTCTATCTGAAGCTAGAGTGTTGAGGCTCGAAAAAGCCAGTATGGGCCATCACCGGGGCCCCCTCCTGTGTTTTCACAGATGAGGTAAGGGTAGAAATAGAGGTTTGCCCCAAGGCCACACAGTAAGTAACTGGGTCAAGATTTGAACCAGGTTCTCCTAACATCAAATCCAGTTTGCTCCATTCCTCCTGCATTCCACAGTGGACAGAACTGTGTTGTTTTTCATTGTTGTATTGGAAGGGCCCAGAGGCCCAGGGAATAGGCAGGCAAATCTTTGTTTCAGTAACTGACTTTGGGCAGAAAGCTGGTAGCTCTGATCAAAATTTCTTTCCAAGGAGTGCTAGGATAGAAGGCAATTCCCAGACTAGCTGTACCCCCCAGTTAACCTGTCTAGGTCTCAGTTTCCCCATCAGCAAAACGTGAGGCTTACAAATGTGGAGAAGATGTTCTTAACTTGGGGTAGATAGACCATGAGGCAGGTGTCTGTGAACCTGGATGGGGAAAAACCAATCTTTATATTCACTACCTTCTAACCACAACTGATCATTTCCATGACTTATGAATGTAGGCAACAACCATGATTGTGAGAAGGGGTCTATAGGCTTCACCAGACTATTGCCAGGGTGTTCATGAGACACAGAAGGGAAAACCTCATCCTATGGAGAGTCAGGTCCAGCTCAGAGACATTAGCTAAAGTTAGTGTTAGAGAGCTTGGGTTGGGACTCACAATCTGGGCCCAAATGGTTCCCTTTCAGGTTTACATCTAATGATTTGTCTCTGGTGTGTGGGCATGGTGTGGTCATTCTTTTGGGAATAAATCCTAAAAATTATTACGCTGTCATGGTCAGGGGTCTGTGGAGATGGGTGAGGGCTGAGGAGGAAAGAGAAGAGGGAAATGGATGCTTTTAGAGTTGTTCCTCTATTCATTTGCACACACAGGAGGTTCAGGGCTGTGCTCTGGACTTACCTGATTTGGTTGCAAACCCAAACCAGTGTAGGGTGCTCCAGGTTGCTAAAGAGAATGGATTAAGTTTATCCAAGGGAAGCTTGTGAAAGAGGAAGATTCTGCAGCCCTCCCTCCTCCCCCATTCCTCTCGTGTGTGGGGGTGGGCAAAGAACTGGAGGATGAAGAAAAGCATAACACTAACCCTCACCCTAATTCCAAGAGTGGGGGAGGGAAGAGAAAGGAGAGGGGCAGTCAGAAGCCACAGACAGAAAAAGATAGAGACGAGTAGGTCTGGGGGTGAGCTGCAGGTGAACCGACTCAGCCTTGGCGGCCCCAACACCACGCCTCGGTGGAGTAAACACCCTAGAACAGGGGCCAGCTGGCCCGACTCAGCCACCGCCTCTGCCTCAAGTCCGGTTCAACACCGAGAGCGAGCCGCCAGAGCCTTCCTGAGAGCCGAGGGGAAGGGGTCGCACCCCTCCCCAGGCTCATCAGACCAAGCAACCACAGCTACGAATCAGGCACAAGCCCCCTTGGGGCGCCAAGGAGGCAGAAGGCATTCTTACACCCAAGGGCCAGGATTCCTCTTTTCCCAGTAAGATTCCCAGAATTGTTTTTATTTACCCTCCAGAACTGAAGACCCTGGCTTCCTTCAGAGCAGAGAAAGACGGCAGGAGTCAGAGTAAGAGACACAAAACAGAGATAGTCACAGAGATATAGAAGGAGCGGGAGGAAGAAAAAGAGGAAGAGAGAGAATGGGAGAGGAAGGGGAAAAAGGGAGACAGGAAAAACAGGAGAAAGGTGAAAAAGGTGAAGGAGAGGGGGGAGGGGGAAGGAGAGGCAAAGAGAGGGAAAAGAGGAAAGTGGTGAAAAGGGAAAGAAGGAAACAGGCCATCCACTGGCCCTTTCTGATTCTCTAGGGTATGGACAGACTAGTAATTTGGAAGAAAACAACTTCGTCTCACGGAGAAAAAACAAATGCTCGGGATTGCCCGAGTCTGGAAGTGAAAGCTTTGCTTCCGCAGCCTCGGCAGCCTGTAAAATAACCATTTATTTTAATATATCTTAAACATCAATAACAGCCCAAACTCCAGTGATAAATGTCCTTTTCCCAATCATCAACCTAAAGTGCCGACAGCCCTACCGCCGCCGCTCTCCTCTCGCCTTACAGAAACCAAGAAAACGTGACCTCTCTCTCACAGTTCTTTTTACACTGTTAGGAAAATTAACAAATAATACTAATACACATTAACAAGCCTGTTGGTCTTTTCCATTAAAGAGCTCTGTCCTGGTGCCAATCCAGGCCCGCCTGGCCACCTCCCGACAGTCCCGGGTGGAGCGGGGCGGGGCGGGGCCGGCTTGGTTTACTTTCACCGGTCCCTCCATCTTTTAGAGGCTCCGTACGTGGACTCCCTTAGGCCACGTCCGTGGACTCCTGGACCAGCACTCCCGAATTCCCAGGACGAGGGCTGAGAGAGTTCCCAGGCTGGGCGATCGGGGAGGTGGAGAAGGGAGGGTCGGTCCGCTGCAGCACCCCACAGGGCAGCCCTCCAAATCTGATGGTTCCTGTTAGAGGTTGTGGAGCTGGTTGGGGTGTTCCAATGCAAGCCAGCTGTGCAGCATCCCCTGGGGTCCTGGGGCCGCTAGAGTTTGCAAAGGGGCGCTCTGGAGCACCCTCTCCCCTCTCCCTAACCTCGCTTCTTTCTCCAGCCACTCGCCGTGGGCCACTTCTAGGCACACTCGGGCGAGGAAAAGAGAAATTTGCCCAGAAAGGAAACTTACAGAGAAAGTTTGTAACGTAATATAATGCCGCGACAGTGTAGCGCTGCAAGCACGTAACAGCAAGTAAGTAACGCAGCAACCACGGAACTCTGGAACAATGGAACAATGCCACAGTAACACTGGGGGGAGGAGCCAGAGGCTTCGGCGGTGGCTGGAAGCCCTTTCCCACTTGAGCCTGGCGGCCGACCCTTGAGCTCCACCTCTTGGCGCAAAGTTTCTGAGTCCAGGCCGGGAGTGGACTGGCCTCCGCCCCTACAACCACAGGCCCGCGGCCAGGCCGGGCCGGTCGGTGCTGTGAGCGCCCCTTGGAGCCCCTGGAGCCTGGGCGTGAGTGTCCGAGGGAGGCAGAGCCCGGCCTTCGCTCCCGGCCCTGCCAGTGGCTGGCACCGCCTTTCTTTGCTCCAGGCTAAGGGGTCTCGGGCTCTTGCCTGGGACCAGGGGCGGAGGCTACTTCCTCCGAGTTCTGCCGATGGGCCCTGGTGCGCGCGGGCCTTCAGCATGTGATTTTGTTGACTTTGAGATCCTTCACTTGCGTGTGCAGCGTCTTGTGGACGGCTAGAGTCCTGGACTGGCAAAATCCCTTCCCGCATTCCTGGCACTTGAAGGGCTTCTCTTTGGAGTGTATATACCTGCGCGGGAAAGAAAAGAAGCTATTTCTAAACCTTGGCAAAATCCGAAGGGGCTTTAACTGTGTAAGCTTCTTTCGTTGGCGCCCGCGCCTGCCTCCCGTCTCCCAACTCTTATAAAAACCACAAAATACTAGCAGAATCCCGCGTCGGGGGCTAGAGGGGACGCTCTGGGGTAGAGGCCAAACGAGCTAGGACAGTTAAAGAAAACCTGGAAACCCAGGCCAGGGAGACCTGATGTCCTATATCCGGAGACTGGGATAAGGACCCCCGTTCATTAACCAAATCTGGAAGGGACGTGCTTAACAACAGGTTCTCGGAGTGGGGCAGCATCTGGCTAATGATTATTATAAAACCAACGGACATCGGCTGAGGGGCTGGAGCTGCGGGGCCCGAAGTCTGGAGATCAGGCTGAGAGGTTCAGCTCTGCAGAATGTGCCTCAGGGCGCCAGCTTAAGCCAGATAGCCAGAGGACAGGTTGGGAGGGAGCCAAGAAGAGCTTCTATCTTCCTTTTGGGGCTAAAAGTGTAACTTCTGGAGGACAGGAGCAAAGCCCTCCCCCTTTCCCTTGGAGGCTCTCTGCGTTCCTCTATTCTTATGTTCAGGGTGTTCGACAGCGGAGGAGCCTGAGCTCAGGGAGGAGATGACCTGTCCCCAAAGATTAATCTTTCTCCAGTGGCAGCGACGGGAGTCAAAGCCAGGACTCCTGACTCCAGATCATGCCATTGCCCTCCAACCTTGGCCCCCAGCTCGCCGGTTCTGTAGCCCTCCTGGGGTCCCCGCTAGTTGGTGGGTGGGTCGTTTGGGAAAGCGAGGGTGTGGCTTAAACCTGGACTCCGGCGCCGGGGGCCAGGCTTTCACTTCTGGTCTCCCTCTCACCCCTGCTCGCCCTCTCACCTGTGGTCGCGGAGGTGGTCTTGTCTCCGGAACGCCTTGTGGCAAATGTCACAAGTGTAGGGCCTCTCGTCCGTGTGCGTTCGCTCGTGAATCAGCAGGTTATAGGACTTGGTGAAGTGACGACCGCAAAATTTGCAGACAAACTCCTTCTTGGTCTTGGAGGGCAGGCGGCCCCGGGTGGGCTTCTTCTCCGGCGACAGCTTGCTCACGTCGAGCAGGGCGCTGAGCCCGGGTGGAGGCGAGCCAGGGCCCTCGGCGTGGCCGAGCTTGGACGGGTCCTCCTGGGTAGCGGCCAAAGCCAGGTTGGCGAAGTCGAAGCGCGGCTTGGCCTTGAGCGGCGGCCCGCCAGCCCCCCCGTCCTGAGGCTTGGGCTGAATAACGTGCGGGAACCAGGGGAAGGCAGGTAACGGCAGGCGGGCGTCCACGAGGCTGGACACGGCGCCGGGCACCTTGGAGAAAGTGGAGCGCGGCAGGTGTACGGCAGGGTAGCCCAGGGTCCACTGGTGCAGGTGCACAGCGTGCAGGGCACTAAAGCCGTACAGGTTGGGCACGTGATCCGAGGGCACAGCTGGCAGCCCGTTCACAGCCTGCAGGAACGAGTAGTTGGTGAGCTGAAGCGACGGGTGGATGGGCACGGGAGCCGGCAGGGTCTTGCTGCCCATGGCGGTAGCGACACAATTGCCAACCTGAGGGGCGAAAGAGAAAAGGACGGGAATAAGAGGGGGGAAGAGAAATTCAGTGCTGGGCCTCTTCTTAGGCTTATCTACCCCTCGTCCCCTCGCCGCCTCCATCCCGGACTGTTAGGACAAAAGAGAAGCAAAGAACCCCGTCGGAAATGACCAGTCAGAGCAAAGATCCCCATCCCCTCATTCCCCTGGAAATGGTCAGACAGTGCCCAAAGCGAGCTCCAAGATCGACGATGCCAGGTTTGCGTCGTCCCTGGGATTTCGAGACTAGGGACTTTAGAGATCTGGGGACTCCAAATACTTCATTTTACAGAAGAGGAGAGAGAGAGAGAGAGAGAGAGAGAGAGAGAGAGAGAGAGAGAG